GGGGGCAACTGGGGCTGCCCCGCTCTGGGTGTGGGCAGCACTGACCCCCTGCCCACTGCAGCCCCCCAGCACTGGGGTGCAGTGGGGACCCCCAGCTCAGCTCCATAGTCTCAGGGTTCCACAGCTCAGTCCCATGACACTGGGGACCCCCAGCTCAGCCCCCCAGTGCTGGGGAATGATGGGGACCCCCCAGCTCAGCCCCACAGCATCGGGGACCCCCAGCTCAGCCTCAGCACCTGCTTCCCCCCCTCCCACGGCCCTGAGTCCCCCCCAGCCAGGATGTGACCAGTCTCCATGTGAAAGCAGGAACACTTTATTTTTGGGGCAGTTCCAGCCCCCCAGGGAACAGGGTGACACCGGGGGAGGGGGGACACAGTTGGTGACAAGGGACACTGGCTGTGTGACACCAAATGTGTTTCAGAGGGTTCAGGTGTCACTCTGCCCCTCAACACCCTGTGCCAGGCCCCCAGCACCCCCGTGCCAGGCCCCAGCACCCCTGTGCCAGGCCCCAGTGCCACGCCAAGCCGGTGCCACACGTGCCCCGAGGACTCACCCCCGTCATCAGCCAGGCCAGAGCTGCCGAGCCGGTTCTCCAGGACGGACAAGACCAAGGAGCAGCAACCCCCAATTACAGGCCAGGCTGAGCCCAGCTCCTTCCAGAGGCTTTCCGGAGGTGGAGAAGGGGATCCAAGCAGAGCCTCTTGCCCCCAGGAGGTGCCACCAGCCGGGGTGACCCTGCCGGGGTGACCCCAGCCCTACAGCGCCAGCGTGTCCTTGATGAGCCGGCGCATGGTGGTGGTGACCGAGGTGCCCAGGGAGTCCGTGATCTGGTAGGAGATCTTGTACAGGTAGGGCTGCACGTCCTTCAGGCTGGTGTCGAAGACGTTGTCCACCTCGGACTGGGTGGGCATCTTGGGCAGGTACTCGTGGCGGTTCATCACCTCCACGATGTTGATGATCTTCTCGCAGAGCTTCTCGCCCACCTTCTCGCGGCAGATCTGCCGCTCCTGCTCGTTGGCCAGGTTCACCACGTTCACCTTGATGGTCCAGAGCTCCCAGGGGATGCACTCGTCCGAGAAGGGCCACCGCGACTTCTTCTTCTGGTAGAACTCCAGGGAGATCTGCCCCATCCCGTCGCTGCCGGAGCCGCGCAGAGCGTCCTGCGGGGCAGCGTTTGGGTCGGGGGGCAACGGGGACTGACCCCCCCCGGGGCACATCCCTTGGGATTGTACTGAATCACACAATATCCTGAGCTGGGAGGGCCCCACAAGCATCATCCAGTCCCTGCACAGACACCTCAACAATCCCACCCTGTTCCTGAGAGCGTTGTCCAAGCGCTCCTGGAGCTCTGGCAGCCTTGGGGCCGTGCCCACTGCCCTGGGGAGCCCGTTCAGTGCCTGACCACCCTCTGGGGGAAGAACCTTTCCCTGACATCCAACCTAACCCTGCCCTGACACAGCTCCAGCCGTTCCCTCATGTCCTGTTCCTGCTCACAGAGAGCAGAGATTGGAACTGCAGACCCTGAGGAGTCTCCCCTCAGTCTCCTCCTCTCCAGCTGAGCAGACCAAGTGCCCTCAGCTGCTCCTCGTGGGGCTGCCCCTCGAGGCCCTTTCCACTGCCTTTCACCCCCGCTGGGCCCCCCTCACCTTGAACTCCCCCACGGCCTTGCGCAGGGCCCGGTCCAGCTCCTCGGAGGAGACTCGCACGTAGGCGAAGTCGATGAAGTCGCAGTCCACGTCCTGGGTGCCCACGGTGCCGATGGAGTAGGTGCCCTCCTTCTTGTAGTGGAACTTGCCGGTGCTGCGGTGCAGCAGGACGGTGTGGAGCACGGCCAGCATGGCCT